CTGCAGGTTGTCGTTGCCCTCGGGAATTTGAAATGGATACCTGACTGGGGAACTGACTCTGCGACTGTCTGTCCGCCTGTCTGTCCGCCTGTCTGTCTATTTGGCTGTCTGTCTGCTCCCGGGGGCGGGCAACCTCAAATAAAAAACAATTTCAGCTATGCAAACAGCTCACCAAAAAGGGAAGCAAAAAAATTAAATTGGCAGCAAAATGTGAAAATTGAAAGCGGCAAAAATAAAATCGTAGCAACCAAAAAATATACGAAAAAACCATATTAGAATACTTTCCTAGAATATACTCTATGCTTACGCTTAAAAGGTTTTTCTAATTCTGACCTTTTTTTACAATTAAATCATTTTTATCTATGTGTACAAAATTTTGTGTATTATATTTTGTGTGAAAACAAAAGGCGAGAATTTCAAATATAAATATATTTATTTTATGTAAGTGGTAATAAGTTAATTACAATTGAATTTATTTAAAATTAGATAAGATATTTTTGCAGTCTCTTCTTTCCACTTGTAAATAAATATGTTTTAAATAAATTCGTCACTTAATATGTGTTGAGTATTAACAAACTATGCAAAATGAAAAACTTTATGCGCCACGTTTTACAAACACCAGTTGGAATATTTACGAGCCTTGCAGAGTCATCTGCAGATTACTTTAATTAGGCAACGCTGCGTATACATAATGTGGTTCAAAGTACTTCTACAAGTGTGAAAGTCACAGTGAACGTGTCGCACAACCTAAAGCGATCAACACCAGCTGCTTGCTAACATCAACTAAAATCGAAGTTGCAAAGTGTTTGACTTTGGGGTGACAGGAAACGTGTTGCAATGTTGTTGTTGTGGTTGTTGCTGTTGACACCTGCTTTAGGGGATGCAGCTGCTGATACCGCAGTGGCATGACTAGGTTGTTGTTGTTGCTGCCTCAAGTTTTCAAGTGGTGGGTTGCATAGTTAAGCCAAATGACTTTTGTCGAGCTAAAGTAATTCATCCAAAGATATCCGCGTAATGAGCAAAGTTTGGCCAATAAACCCCAAAGCAAAGGCAATCACTGCCGCTTTCTCGAAATTCTTCAGTATAACAATTTTTCAATCAAATCAATAAATACTATTATTGCCCATCAAATTTAATAAAATCGCTTCACTCAGCTGAAAAATGCTCAAGCAAAAAATAGACAGAAAGATAAAAAACAAAATGGCTCGTTTTGCTTTCTAAATCGAGCGTGCAAAATGAAAAGCTTTTTCTTATTGTTTTTCTTTTTATTGGTTTACGAACAGCGAACTTCATTAATTTTATTTTATCCATTTCTTTCTAGGTAAGTCTTCAATATGGAGATATAGGATACAATAAGAGGTAAAGTATAAGCAAATAGAACATTAATCGTACAAAGACTTCAGCACAAATGAATTAATCGGCTAATGGCTTTTGTCTATTTGGTTCTATTCTAAGAAATCAATTGAATTCAAAGCATAAATAAGTTCAATTTTATTCATTTAAAAAGAGTTAATGGAATGCGAAAAGGTGTTTTATGAGATTAAGAGCTTCAACTGGAGAGCAGAACAGTAGGCGATAAATAAAACAGTTTGCAAGCGAATTTGATATATTATAAAGTGTTGCAAAATATTTAAATTGAATATGTAAATTCTATTATAATATAGGCAAGTTAGCATTCTTTTGTGTCAACTTTCATTGAAGTATACACTCACAGCATCGTTATTGTTGACTTGCAACCTTTTCTTGACCCCCAAATCATCAATTATGCATGAGCGAGTATGTTAAAGCTGTTCTCTGTGATTGAACTGTACAAAATGTTTGTGGCATAATGAAAACGACACAAGTGAATTTTCGATTTTTTCAGTTGCTTGGCTGCTTGTTGGCCCTATACGCAATAAATCACTGTTCAACCGCACATCAATTTTAAAGCTACCCAAACCCTAATAATAACCGAAAAAGCTTTTAGAATTTAAGGTGTACAATGGGGGGCAGATGGGTGCGTTAGTTAACTGGATTATGTAGGCCAATCAATCAACATTTTTGCTGTGTGTGACGAAAATTAAGCTCAAATATGTGCAAAATACGCAAACCGTACCGTAAACTGTCAAATTTGTGGCCAGGAACATGAAGCAGTACTTGAACCTGTGTCAGTGTCTGCCTCTCGCCGGGAGTAGATGGCGTATGCATAATGTAAAATACAAGCAGCTTAAAATTTTATTAATTAAACGAGGTTCCATACCCCGTACTCAGAAACTGTCAAGAGAGGTATTTGAGTGATGTGGGCCTGTAATTAACGAAAGGAAGTTTCCATAAATAGATTAAATCATAATCATAATTATATTAAATTGCAGAGCCCTTACTGAATGTTCTTACAGGGTATTTTCTAGTCGTAAAAATAAATTTAAGCTGTATGTGTGCGGCAGAAGAAAGCTTAATAAAATGTCGCCAACAAAAACAGCTAGAAATAAACTCAATATTTGCGCATTTGCGCTTTTTGTGAGTTCATATATTTGTATAAAAGAGTCTGCATGTGTGTGAGTGTGTGTGTGTGTGTGTGTGTGTGAGTGTGTATATGTTCCACTGTCTGCACTGATGCATACAGTAAGCCGATAATGCGCCAACAATGACGCCATCGAGCAGCACTATTCGACTTAAATCGGCTTATTGCCTCTTGACTTCGATTCGGCAGTCAGGGCTTAAGCTTAAGTGGATAGCTGTCAATTGATATACCATTAAACCGATAGTTTTCGGATTTCCACTTGGCAGCTGCCTAAATGTATTTCGTGTGCAAATCTAAGAAACAAATCAATTAAATACCATCCAATTGATTATGTATTAACTGCAAATATAAACTTGTCTAACAATAACTTCAGTTGGAATCATACTTTTTTAAATTTGCTTTAAATTAATTTAAATTATAATGGTAGGGCCTCATCATTTATGAAAAATATAAAAAAACAAATATAAGCAGAATATAAAAAGCTCAGATTCTTCACCATCTCTAGACATATCCTCCCCCTCCACTAAGTCGAGTATTACTGCTGAGAAATTTCATCATTTGATTCGTTGCCGATAATATCTTCGTAGCTCACATCTTGCAATTCACATTGAGTTTGTAATGGATCGACAAGTTCTACATTTTCCTGTTCGGTTATTTCTGCTAACGCATTTTCCACAGTTACCTTCATTTCCTGTATCTCAACATTTAGCTGACGAATGCGCTCCAAGTTTTCTCGAGCACGGGCCAAAGCTTGACGGATGCGATCATGTATATTTTCCTGGGCGATGCGATGATTTGTCACATCCTCCCGGAGGCAATTCAATATCATGCGACGATAATCTACACTGTTGGGGTCCATTGCAAAACAATATCAATTATATTTGCAACTTACAATTTTAGAGTTAGTTTTGTTGTGAGTCTCGTTGTTAAATTTATTGAAATATAATGAGCTTTGAGTAGACGCCAGCTTGTGAAACCCCACATCCGCTCAGAACATTAGTTGATTGATGGCATTTACTTAATATAATTATTTGAGTAAGCCGATTAGGTAGTTAACTAATCTGTATATGGTGCATGACCAATCGACAAATCAATGCCATTATTAACATGAAATTATCAGGCTCATAAAACTGGTCATAAATGACCAGTGATTTGGGCTCATGGCAATTAAAGTATTAAAAGCTTCCTGACCTGCCTTGCCTCTCCGCGTTGTGTCTTTATGTGTCTGTGTTTATGTGCTGCATAATTGATTATCCCGTGGGCCAAACATGTCCTTGGCTTGTGTTGTCCCCTTCGTCCCTTGTGCGGCAAGCATAAGCCATTAAGCTTTATGATGATTTAAATTGCGATGACAATGATAACTATTAGGATTTTAATTTGATTATATTCATATTTGCCTCCAGTTCTTTACCTCTCAGATCCAATTTACTTTCGTCTTAATCTCCGCTCAAACTTTTTGAATGCCAAAATGTTAACTGGCTTAAGCATTTGAGTTTTGCACGACACTTCTCAACGGGCCTTCTTTTCTGTCAGCTGTCCCTCGTGTAATGTCCAGGGTTTTTTTTTTTTGCCTAATTGGATTAATTGGCAGCCGCAGGTTTGCCCTTGGGTTATTGTGAGTGTGATTAGGGTATTTATCATTTTTCTTCTTTTTATTTCTCTACGAAGGTTAATGAACGAAGTGCGAAGTTTATAAGTTGGTTGTCTTACTTTTAACATGAATTTAAATTGAGATAACCAAATAAATAAGTAAATAAAGCATTACATTTTCCAAATCAGATTTGCACAAATTAAATAATGAATAAAAATATTATTGCAAGCAATTTGTACTTAAATTCACCATCGAATTCATACCAATTTCAAATGTATTCAACGATAAAACTATAATAAATTCTTATTTTGGCTATGCATAAGAAACTTCGTTAAATATTAAAGCACATAATCGGTAGTGTTTCGAGTTGTATACACACAACTTATTCACTAAATTGTCAATGCATAAATATAACGTATACGCAATGAATGCCAACCAAATGGTAAGCCAAAGAACAGGAACTAAAACAAAAACTGTAATCCGAGTCATGAAACTCGCAACGCAGACAAAACTCAAATCCGCTTCTAAGCAATTTGTCGCAAATACACCAACAGCACACACACAAGAGCACACAACAGCACACACACATTTAGAGAGAAACACATATTCTTACAGTGTTGTGGGGTGGCCAGAAGCGACACCTGTTGCCCTGGACCAGCAACTTGACTCAATTTCAAACACTCACTCTCTTAGCACTTTGCGCTCTTCGTTGCGTTTGTTGTGGTCTGCTCTTTCGCCGGCAACAACACACACAATTTGGCGCCTTGACACAATCAGGTTTTTTCGCACTCTTTGCTTTTCGCTGTAATTCTCGCTCAATGTTGGAGAACTGGCGCTTCCAGCTGCTGTGTGGCTTTGGCTGCCATGGCTCAGTTTACAGTTTAGTTGCCGCTTGTTAGTCGCCACGTGCGGTTCGGTTTCGGGCAATCGCTGCGGCTCCCTCTCTCTCTCTATCTATATTTTCTCTCACTCTCCATCGGTCGCTGTGTGGCCAAATAGTACGCGACTTTCTCGTCTCCGTGTGTGTGCGAGTGTGAATGTGAGTGTTTGTGTACGCTGAAGCGCTACGTCGATGTGTGAGTGTCATTCGCGTGCTTTAGTAAACAGTTATATATATACACATAGACAAACGGATTGGGGCATGTAGATAAACTGGCGGACAAGCGGATAGGCGGACAGACAGACATTCATTTCCATTGCGTTGGCGTTTGCATTCTAGTTGCGCTGTCGTCGTCGCCACGGCTGATTTTCCATTACTTTATGCAGCACGATCTATATGAATTTTTGAATTTGTTTTTTATTTGTTTTTTTTTTACCTACTAACGTTCGCAATCTATCCCCCGCTCTATGTGCTCCGCTCGTTTGCGCCCTTGTTTGTGAATTTGCAACTGTAATCAAATTTGACGTTTCATTTACAACTTAGATTTGCTTTGAAATTTGCTTGCGGTTTCATTTTTTACATTTCTCTTACCGTCGTCGCTGCCGCCGTTTTGTCTGCGCCACTAAATTCAACAAATTATTTACGAAAATCCAAAGCACCAAAAACTTTGCCAGCTATTTGGCTCGCCTGCCTTTTCTGTGTTTTAGGTGCCTCTAACACGGGTGAAATTTTGTTTATACAAAAAAAGAAAAAACTAAATAAATAAAAAAAGGAAGCGACATAAGAAGAAAACATTGAAAATGCAGGCGAAAATACTCATGCTTTATAACCATGGCGACCTGTCAAGTATTATGAAGTGTCTTACGAACTTGGCTTGAAAAGCTTGGCTAAATGCCGAACTGAGAAAATCATGCATAAAACTTATTGCATGAATGTTTATAGCGCAAGTCGGTAAACTTAAAAAAACTGCATAATAAATTACATAAAACATATAAAAACTATAAATATTTAAAACAAAAATAATAATAAATAATAATAACTGAGATGAATATGAGCACCCAAAAAAATATTTATAATTATGCTTGAGATTTTGATATAAATTTCCAATTAAAATACGTTCCATATAAGCTTATACCAATTAAAATTATATTTATAATTATCTGAAGAAATGTTACCAATTTTAATCCGGCAATATTCAAGGGTCGGTTTAAAGTCTTAAACTCTAGTTAGAAAAAGAACAATACTTCTTCTCATCAGTCTTATTAAATCTGCTTATGTTATAAAAATATTTGTAATGTAAAATATTGTTTTATTTAATACAAATTTGTCGACTTATTCAATCTCAATTTCATATCTGTTGCCACAAATCAATTAGCGTGTTATTTTTTTACATACATATTCCAACATATTTACACGTCCTTGTAGAAGCATCCCAAACTGACAAATGATTGTCCAGTAACATTTCCATTTCCACAAGTTGTAATTGATACATAAATATTCAATCAAAAGTTCGTGTAGCAAATGGAAATAAAAGAGCAATAAAGGGAAAGCTGATCTGAGTTCGTATCGAAAAAATGTGAAAAAATGTGGAGGCCCTTTCAATATTCATACAGCAAAAAAAGTAAAAAGCATAATGGATTAAAATAAAATAGAGGAAGTGAAAATGTACATAAAAAATGGCTTAGGGAAGATGGCTAAAAAGCTTATCAAAATTTAAGTCGCTTGAGTCGAGTCAAGTGAAAATTAAGTGGCAAACGATAAGCCTAACATATTAATAAATAAAATATAAGAAAATATTGTCAATGATAGCATATATTGATAAATGTATGCTTATATATTCTATATTTAAGCTACCCAAAACACACATTTTTGAGTCCACTGGGCAGCCAGCAGTCCATAAAATAGGCCGTTTGAAAGACTACAAGTATTATACACATTTGTCAGTATATTTATATATATATATAGATATTTTCTATATTTAGATGCATTCTATAGATGGCGTGCGAGTGAGCATTGCGTATGAGTAATATTCAATTGTTTTCAAGATTGTTGAAAATTGAGAAAACAAATCAGAATCGATTCCATCAAAAAGTCCGAAATCAAAATAAAATTATACGCAACTGAATAAAATAAAATAAAAATAAGAGTGAACAAATAGACAACAGCAACAATTTCATGATTCGTTCACAGTTGCTATGAAATATTATATAATAATTTTACTTATGGGTTTTTCAAGCGTATTTTTTAATACGATTCCCCATCGTCATCAGCATGCATATACCAAAAAATGAAAACCACAAAAGCTTATCAGTACACAAGCAGCAATTATCAGAAACACAGATTACACTTCAGTCTTAAACGCGAATTGTTATTTGAAATTGTTGCGTTAGCACTCAATCCACAAATCTAACAATCCTATGTAAATAGCGAGACTAACAATAAGGCACTCAACCTAAATCATTATAAGAATCAAAAACATTTAAATGAGTCGAACACACAATTCAATGCATATATTATACATACATAATTATTTGAATTTAATTATGCTAATTATACGATGAGCTGAAAAACTCATTTTATACTAATTGCATCAATGCTAAGATGGGAGACTGATAAACAATTAAACAAAATTGTTAAATTGCATTAAGATAAATATTTTTAAAATTTAAAAAAAGGCAATTTAATGAAAATTTTTAATTTTTAATAATTATCTGGTAGAACATTATGTCTTCACTTAATGGTAAAAATATGCTTGCTTAATGCGTTCTTTTATTTAAAATAAATAAGAACAATATCTGCTCGATATGAAAATCGATGATTAAATCTTCTTGGGCTTAAATGGATAAATGACTTTATATTTGTTAATTTAATGAGTTCACTTTTGCACGTAAATCAGATAGAAAAGAAAAATCAACAACGAGTTAAATTAATTGATTAATTTTAACGAGTGGCAGCAGTAGCCACTTAACACGACAGCAGCCCCATCAGGAAGCGTAAAGGGAAAAAAAAGAAAATGTAAGCCTCCAGCGACAAGCACAACAACAAAAGAAACGCTTGACAAAAGTTGACAATTTTAATTATGGTTTAAAAGTCGACATCCGACGTTTTGTACTTTTTTATTTTTGCCGCTTAATTAACACTTTTGTTGTATATAAGTGGGCAAGGCTTTTAATATCAACCATAAACCGCAGGATATTTGAGAGCTGCTGTTCTTTTTTTTTTTTTTTGGGTTTAATGAATATTAAGCACAGATTTGGGTCGAAAAATTGGTTAGTTTGCAGCAATGTACTTTCAACTTATTCAAAATGCGATATTTAAGCTGTATTTGTTTTTACTTTTATTTTATTTATTTTTGGTTGATTTATATATATATGTATATGTATACTTATATATATATATTGTGCGGTTGCTTCATTGCGCATTCAAGTGGCCCCGTTTGCCAAATGAAAATGAAAATGGGAATAAAACCAAACCCAATAAAAACTTGTCTACACGGCCAATTGGGCATTTAAACCGTGAATTGAAAGCTGGCCCGGTTCTGTCTATGTCTAGCCTGAATTTGGCTAGCAATCTGTTCAAAAGAAGCGAAAAAGAGAAGCGATAGACATTAGACCACACAGTTTTCATTAGGTTTAGCAAATTTTCATAGCCTAATTCGTGGCGCCTTTCTTATTACGTATGCGTAACGTGTTACGCTCGCGTAGTAAAACCATCAAAAGAGCAGCGCGTCAAAACACAAATAAGGCCAACAAACAGAACCCACAAATACAGAAACACTGGTTCATCAGAACGGTAAACAAAATGCGCTGAGAAGGCAAACATTTGTCTACGAAATGAGCTAATTAAAGCCACATTAAAAAGTCAAATAAATTTGTTATACATATACATATATATATATATACATATATCTCTTTTTCTTCTCTGTCCTCGCACTTTTAGTATAGCCTCTTATGCTTCTGCTGAGTGATTAATTTTCATATTTTAACTGACAAAAAAAAAAAAAAAAACACAATAAGGAGAATGAGTGAAAAAGGTTGTACAAAACAGCAAATGGACGTTACACAAAAAGGTCGAGCAGCGTGCAAAAACATGCTCACTTTTATCCATATTTATGCATAATGCGAGTGTCGACGGGTATAATTAACATTCACATTGAAAGCAACCCGTGCGTCAAATGTGAAATATGCAACATGCCACGCCTGCTCAATGGCCATTCACACATATGTACGCACACCAACACATACGCACTTTTAATATATTAATCAAGTGCCACACATGGGGGAAGATACAGAAAAAAAAAACTTGTATGCGATAATTGCAGAAACTTTGTATGCAGCATAGTTTTACTGCTCGTTTTTATTAAAAGCTGAAGGATACTTTCAGCTTTCTGGCCCAATAAAGGCTTAGTAAAAGCGATTCCATTTAGAAATATTTCAAGTTTCGTAAGTGCATTTCTTTAGCAATTAGTGTTAAATAAATTTCAGAGTGAAAACTGTTCAACATCTTTAAATTAATGCTAACTTTAATCAGTATCCATTCAGTTTAGAGCTCGGTCTCTTTATGCGAATATTAAAAATAGTGCCAAACAGCAGCTTATAAAATTGATATTCAGCTGTGCAATTTAATTTTGGTTAGTACCTGAACTCAAACCAAAAACCATCAAAACGATAAAAAGCGATATTCTCTGTATTAAATCTCTAATGGCATTACTAAATATGCTCTTAATTTACTTAATAGTTATTTATTGTTGCGTGTGCGATGCAGTTAGGAACACCAACACCAACCCCAACACAAATAACCACAACTTAATTCCGTAACTTTTTGCGTGTGTGGTTTTTGTTCTAATGCATGGCTCTCTGCACAGCTCTTGTGTAAATCACACGATTGCTATAATTAGCAAAAGCGATTTAATAACGCTTTACTCGCTAAGCAACTGCAGCTGAGCATTACCTGATGAGAATTATAAAAACTCAGTTGAATTGAGCGTTCCACGATCCAGTGAGCTGATGTAGAATTATATACTCTCCAAGCGAGATACAGAGAGAGAGAGAGAGAGAGAGAGAGGAGAGAGAGACAGAGACAAATTGCGATACAGACGTTGTCGTGTTTATTATGATTATTAATCCCAATTCGGTTTGGTTTTCATTTCCACAACAATGCAATTAATAAAGCAAATTGCATAAGGTTATTAATACA